TTCCGTTGCTGTGATCACCCTGGGGACGCCGCGGGTTCTAAGCCGCTGGCCACGAGCTGGTACCGACTCCGGCCATTTCAAGCCCGGGATCCGCTCAACGTAGTGGAGAACAGATGCGAACTTGGGGTGTCTTGGCGCAGTTGCGATCGCATCGCGGAGGAGGGGATGCAGGCAGTGGGAGGGGGGTAGGGATAGGTAGTACGCTACCGAGTTCATCGCGTCACGCTCGATGCGGAGTTGGGCGGGCAAGATGGCGGCCTCCTTCTCGAGGGCGGCTAGCGACGCAGTACGGAAACTGCCCGTGATACATCGGGCAACCGTTTTGTTAACCTTGTCGAGCGGCTTGAAGATGGACGGTGGGAGGGGGAGGAAGCAGGAGACGCCGTAGTCTGCGCAGGGTAGGACCGTGGTGCGTGTTAGGTCGCGGATAAGACGAGGTTCAAGGCCCCACGATCTGTGCATTACCCCCATGGACGCGTGGAGGGCACGTGTTGCCGAGACGGCTCTGGCGGCGATGTGCGCTCGGCCCGACAGTGCGCTATCGAGTACCACCCCCACCCACTTGACCTGCTTCACCGGGGCAACAACCGTCCCGCCAAAATTCACCGTGACAGCGGAGTAGTCAGCTCGTCCTGATGAATAGTGGATGAGTTCAGTTTTGGCGCTCTCGAACTTAGCGTCGTCATCGGCCTCCCACGCCTTTGCCTCCCTTCCCAATGCTTCAAGGTTGCGAACATTGTCGAGAATCGAGCGACTAGCTGTAGAGAAGCTGATATCGTCGACAAAGCCGCCGCGCCACGAGAGTGGGATATTGAGGTTGGAGAGTCGGCGCAAGAGTCGATTGATGACCAGGAGGAAGATGATAACGGAAAGGGCGGAGCCCTGGGGCGCGCCCTTGTTCGTGATCCGGAAGGTAACCGTGCGTTTCCCGTCGAGCACCACGGTGACAAGGTGACTGTCCAGGAAAGACAGGACCCAGGAGATGGTCTCGCGCGAGTAGCCCTCCTCCGCTAGCATCTGGGCGACGACCTCGTGGCTGACACCATTGAAAGCACCCATGAGATCAAGGTGTACAGTCGAGACAATCATCCCTTGGTCCAGAAGAGACCGGACTCGGTGCACGAAAGCATCCACAGCTTGTTGAGTGCTATGTCCGGGTCGAGCACCAAATTGGTCCTTGTCCAGGATCTTCAGCGACTCGGCTTCGTAGGATATTCGATTCGCGACCAGGCGTTCAAGAGGTTTAGCCAGCGCCTCGGCATGCTGCTCAACCGGGCGATACGCTTTGGGGCTGGTTTTGTCCTTCTTGCCAGCTTTAGGCGTTGGGATCGCGTTTGAGGACTTGAGCCTCGTAGGGTAGAGGCCAAGGCGCACCGACGATTTGAATACGGCACGTACGTGGTCGGCGATGGCTGGCCACGCTTTACGGATGAAGCCTAGCTGGATGCCATGGGAATCGGGCGCTTTCCATGGGTCCCCTGTCCAGATGACCGCCTCGATTTCCTCGTCCGTAACCGCTTCGTGCTTCCTCTCCTCCACAATCGCCAAGCCCTCGACAATTCTAGCCCTCCTTGTCACCCGCTCCTCCTCGTACCCTCTCGCCTCGCCTCCCTTCCTACCAACACCATCACTATCGATCTCCCTTTCGCCCTGGTATTCTACAGTTGTTTTTTCTTTATTGTTGTTTTTGGTTTTCTTGTTTTCGGTTTTTCCACTAGCTTTATTCCCCCTATCGTCCGTTTTGTCGTTTTTGTTTCTGTTCGTATCTTCTTCGTCCAAGTCCCCTTGCCCATCCCTGCACCCTACTTCCTCTGCCGACGTCCCAAACCAAGCCCTTCCCAATACCCTGCCCCTCGATTCCAGATCCACCGCTGCATTCCCCGTGGCCGGATCAACCAGCGACGGGAAGACAGAGCGGGGCTGAAGATGTAGCCTGTTCAGGACGTCATAAACGTTGGAGCGATCTATGCCATCCAGGAAGTGCCTCCATGCTTGTTCCTTCGCTTCTGCGATCCCCTGGTAAAGGTCCCGTCGTGCTTCCAGGAAGAGCAGTCGGGCAGAGGGTACTCGGTGACGTTGGAACCAGCGTGTTTGACGCCGGAGGCGGGCCAGGAGCTGGCGAAGCTCGGGCGTCCACCAGGATTTAGAGTGGGAGGAGGGGCGGCGCTTGGGGGTCGAGGCGGACAGCGCGATGACTAGCGCATCACAGAGGAGGTTCGTGGCTGAGTCGAGTTCCTTCTGGTTGGTGATGTCTTTCGCTGGTTCACCAAGTTCGAGTCTGAGTACCGCCAGGAACTTGTCCAGGTTCATCTCATCGGTGTTGAAGCGGTTCGAGGTCTGTTCTGCAGCATCCATCACTAGCTCGTAAGTAATCGGCAGGTGGTCGCTACCCAGGCCAAGGCCTGCGTTGACAGTTACGTTGCGGATATTGAGAAGGAGGGACGCCGATGCAAAGCCTAGGTCGAGAACGTTTCCCGACGGGAGATGAGTAGGGACGTCCGGCGGGGTTATGAGAAGGAGAGGGTGACCAACAAGGAGGTCATGGAGCTCGTCATCCTCGTCGCGGTGCTTGGTACGGGTTTTGGAGTCCCACGCAATGTGATGTGAGTTGGAGTCCATGACGGCGAGGGTTTCGCAACGGGGGCCGAGGCGAATGAGAACCGAGCGCAGGAGGGCCACTCCCGCACGGGTTTCCCAATCGTTGTAGAGGTTAACGATGGTGATCTTCCTGTTCTTCAGAATCAGGTCGACCACCATGATGTCGGGGGAGGTGGATAGATCATGTCGGGGGCAAATGGATGACACAGGGATGGTGGATTGTTTAAAGTACATGGAGACACGGTGCCGTCCCTCACAGTTAGGTTTGATAAAGAAGTATCCAGTGTGGTCGAATCGCTCAGCCTCCTTTTCCCATGGCTCCTGGAGACAGATAATGTCAAAGTCGTGTACCCCCATCAGGATTTCTAGAGGGTTCGGCGACTTCCAGGTATTGCTTTGGATTAACCGGATCATTACAACGATTCGGGCAGCCGCAGCGCTAAAGAGGGGTTGGGGAGTGTGTTGAGCTGGGCCAGACCAGGAGAGGGAGCGAGCGGGGACAGGAATGGGGATGCGGTCGGGTTCGGGTTCAGCGGTGGGATTGGGGTAGTGCTCAGACGGGTCAGCATTTCCTCATTCAGCCTGCGAGTCGTCTCGATAGCCCGTTCTCGGAGGTGTTGCGTGATGCGCTTACGAGCCGGGCATGCGAAGCTGTCAGCGCGATGGGTTCCATCGCAGTTTATGCATGACGGTTTCTCCAAGCATACCGCTCCGTGTTCCTTCTTGCCGCACCCGCCGCACCTCGCCTCCGCCGCGCCACAGCGATTACGTGTATGGCCAAACTTGTAGCACCTCCAGCATAGCACCGTCTTCAGATTGGGGTAGCCCCGATCCACAACCGGTGCCGCACCTGCGAGCACTACCCGCTTGCGCAGAATAGCGCGGTCAACCATGTCGCGCGATTGCAGTCGTACAAACAGAGATCCCGCTGTAGGCGGTGTGCGCCCCGACGCTACGATCGCGGATATTCTCGCCTCGCTTGGAGGTTTGTTCACCCACATTAGCGGGCTGACTACTTTCCCGAGTGAGGGGTTTCCCTGCTCGAGGTCGTCCTTGATCTCCTCCAGGTTGCCTGCCGTCGCGAACGGAATCCCATCTATTTGAATATAGCAGTAGGTCGACGCCGGCGCCATGTGGGCACCAGGAAAGATGCCGGGAGCCCACATATCCCACCGCTTCGTGAGTATCCCTAAGTCCGCCTTCGTCTTTGGGACAACGAAGATGCTTGTGGCTGACTGCTTCTGGGTGTAGACAACCGGCGGCAGGCCCAGGCTCGCGAGGTGCGCATTCAGCTCGGACAGGATTTGCGGGTACGTGAGGCCGAGGATGGAGGGTGTCGGTCCGTTGAAACGTACGAGCATTCGTTCGTCCTCGGGGTTGGGGAGCGGGGGAGGTTTGGTCTTAGTCGAGGGCAGGGACGCTGCTTTCTGCGCATATGACGGGGCGGCGGAGGGATGGGGCGAGGGGGGGGTGATGGGCGCGTTCTTAAGCGTTTCCAGTGACTTCGTGAGTGACTGAATCACACGGTTGTTCGCCTCGACCTGGGCAGAGAGGTCCTTCACTGGTGAGGAGACTGAGCGCGATAGTATTGAGCCAAAGGACTCCCTGCTTTCGTCTGCACTGGGGAATTCATGGTGGTTGGAGAGCCGTTCCACGAGCTCGTCTAGTAGCTGGAAGCAGGCTTTGGTCGGCGATGAAGAGCTGAAAAGTTTCATCGTGTCGACTGTCTCTTTGAATATACGCGCCAGTTCGTCCAGACCCCCTGCGTCCGCTGCTTTGCCCTTGAGGACATCGTAGCGCTCCTTCTTAGCTGAGTCTCTGGTCTTGGGGTTCTTTTTCTTCTCAGCTTTCCCTGCTGTGGCGCGATCCGGAGCGTCAGAAGTATCAACGGGGGCAGGCAAGTTCTCTTGCCTGTCCGCACGAGGCGGAGACTCGTCGAGCGCACTAGGCACCATACAAGTCCCCCCTCGCTTTCCACGAGCGTCACTGCGAGTCTTAACCCTGCGAGTGCCCGGGTCCGTGGTTACTTCTGGAGTCCGGTTTGCTGCCGAGGGAACCACTTTAGAACGCGCAGGTGTCTAAAAAATGTGCTCCGGGTTCACAATGCGCACAGAAATGGACGGAAAACGGAAGTACGGAACCGGCCGAAATGGCGGTTTTCGGATCGGACCTCTAACCGCGTAGGCCGGGGTCCTGTTTGTCTTTAGTCCGCCAGTCAGTGTGTAGCCACTAGCTTTTCGTCATCACGTCCCTCACGTCTCGCCTCCCTACTATTTGTGTGATTCTGCTGTGCTCTCGTTGGAACACTTTTCCTTTCAATTTCCTCCTCTCTGGGGAATCACTTTTCTTCTTTTTTTTGCGACATCATAAAAATGTAATCTCCACTAAGCAAATAAAATGAATGCATTAAGAGGGAATCGAACCCCCGGCGGGTCGAATTAGTATCACATAATACAATTCACACCGTGGCAACGACCCAGGTTACCACTACCCCATTAATGCGATAGACGAGAGGCAACAAGGAAGCAGTAGGAGGAATAAATGCACTAAGTCCGAAATTTGAAAAAAATTGAGGAGAGGGAGAGTAAGGGAGAGGGGCGAAGGGCTTGAGCTGCTACGGAAAGACTAACTTGAAGGGAAATACGGAAGGAAACTTGGTAGGAGTGCAACGACGCAGGATACCCCTTCCTACACTTGAATACTAATATGAACATTGCGCCCAGCGCTCGGGACTTGCCGCCTCGCGATAGATACTTGGACTCTCAACATCGGGCTACCGCGCTCGGACGCGGACTCTCAACATCGGGCTACCGCGCTCGGACGCCACAACCGCTCGCAAAAATACCACTACCCCATTAATGCAGATGATGGGACAAACGGATCGGAAGGAGCGGTGAGCACTGCCACGGTTGAAGTTAAACATGAAATGACGTCGTCTGCATCCGAGTCGTCTGTTGGCCAACATGAATCTGCCGTGGATTACTCTCAATTTCCTCTTGCAATTGTGGCGAAACAACCTGCCTTCACTGTCGAACTCGTATGCGTACTCCGCCTCGTCATCAGAACGCCACACAACATGCATCTCGCTCAAGTCTATGCTAAACCTTGAGAATACGACGATAATCGACGCGTCTTACCTCCCGGGAGACTCAAAAGTGCCACCCTACGGTCCATACGATGAGACGGCGAATGTCAAAGCACCACTCTGTCGTGTGCAATTCTTTACCAACACCACAGATACGTCGTCTATCCATGCTGAAGCTTGGCTTCCAGACGAATGGTACGGCCGGTTTTTGGGAATCGGAAATGGCGGTCTCGGTGGATGTGTGTGTTCCATTCGCGCAGAGAAAGTCCAATTTCAAACCTTTCCTCCCAGATATACACCAAGACTGGCTAGATTATGGTTCCTCCCTCCACTTTGCTGCCGTCGGGTCGAACAACGGACACGACGGCTGGGGTGGCCTGCCATTCCTAGGCCATCCGGAGGTGATCAATGACTTTGCCTTCCGCTCCATTCACGTCGAGGCGGTCATTGGAAAACAAATTGTAGAGGCTTACTATGGAAAGCCTCACAACAAAGCGTATTACCTCGGATGCTCTACGGGAGGACGCCAGGGAACACAAGAGGCACTCCGATTTCCGAATGATTTTGACGGTATTCTAGCCGGGGCACCGGCAACGGATTGGAACCACCTAATATACCGGGCGGGTATGTTGGCACGTTACATCGGTGCACCCACCCCTGCCTCGTCGCCCACGTACATTCCGCCCGAATTATGGAAAGTTGTCGCAGAGGAGATTCTAAGCCAGTGTGATGGTATCGACGGGGTTCTCGACGGGATCATAACCGATCCAGATGCTTGCGATTTCAACCCCGAGACTCTTCTGTGTCGGGGAGACAGCGCGTGCCTCACTCTTCCCCAGGTCGATGCCCTGCGGAAAATATATTCGCCTCTCTATAGAAACGGAACATTGCTGTACCCCCGATACGATCCTGGCGCCGAAGGAGGGTCCGGGGGCGTCAAAATGTTCAACGGTGAATTCCCCAATCTCGTCGAGGTACCACGCGCTGCTTTTCATTGTACGACGACTGAAAGATCTCGCAGGACTGGATAAAATACGCCGTTTTGAACGTAACCGAGTTTGATTCCAGCGAATATGGGTTGGAACACTCGATTCTAATGGACGAAATCAACCCTGGAGGGATCTCGACTTTCGATGGCGACCTTTCAGCATTTCGCAATCGCGGGGGTAAATTCCTGACATACCATGGTCGGATGGATCCAGTGGGTAGTCGCACGACGCTTTATCCATTGCTCATCACGCTTTCCCTCAGACCATAGCATCCGGAAATTCTAAGCGGATGTACGACCTTGTCTCGCGGACCCTCGGCATGGCATCCCTGGACGATTTTTACCGCCTCTTCCTGGTCCCTGGTATGGGCCATTGTGGCGGAGGACCAGGGGCATCAAATTTCGGTCAGCTCGACCACAGTACCAACGCAGTGAACTCCTCTTCGCATAATATTCTTTTGGCGCTCGTCGATTGGGTCGAGGGCGGCCTTGCACCGGAAACTATTACTGGTACTGCTGCGGATGGCTCTGAAAGAGTGCACTGCAGATATCCCAAGAAGAACTTCTGGAACGGGACCTTCTTTGCTTGTTCACTGTAGTTGTTTTCTTGTTTGTTTCACTCACATATAGTCACGACCTCGCTTAAGGAGGGTAAAAAGGATGAGTCGACAGTGCACGACGATGATCCGGATGCATGGTAGTAGTTTATGTGCCCATCGACGGTCGATTTTTGTTCCCCAGTGCGACTCGCAAATTTGAACATGAAAGTAAGGCCGATGAACAAAAGTTGATTCCATGCAAAGCGTGGTCCGAGCACGAAATCCAGATATCTATTCGCCAGGAGAAGAGAGGGGGAAAGGGGAAACTCAGGATACTTCGTATCGACTGACTAGCATCTCCCGACCATTCGGTCGCACAGACCGTCGTCCCGCATCACGGCTCAGTGGTTTGCGCATGTCTATCATCTCATTCAACGGACTCCATCGCATCATAGTGAAGTTGACACGTACCAAAAGCATCCTCCTCGTCCCGTCCTCGATTCCCGCCCAGGCTGTCGTAGTACTCCCGCACACGTCGGTACACGCTGTACCCCAGCTCCTCGTACATCCCGATCGCGACGTCGTTCGTACAACGCACGTACAGGTCCACGAAGTATCCCCGGTACGCCTCATTTGACACAAACTCAAGGAGTGCGACCATCTTGCTCGCGAGGCCCAGTCGCCGGTACTCGGGCGCGACCGTCAATACCGTGATATGTCCGTGCCAGTCTGCGTTGTTCCCCTCCGCCTTCCCAAGGACTTCGCGTCGTCTTCAGCGACTGGGCTCAATAACAAATGAATAGATTGACGCACTGTATCCCATCATTCGTCCACTTGGTGCGGCTTGGGCGCAGCAGAGGTCAGGCCAGCGCGCGAGATAGTTTAGATAGAACCCAGGGGCGTACTGGTGGCGAGGGCTACTCAGATCCCTTGAGCGGATAACGAGGGTGTCGTGATGAGCTCACTGTTTGTGTGAAAAGGTCCAGATTTCTGAGACACCATTAGTGACGACAAAAGTACTTATAAGGAGGAGACTACATGTTATTGAACTTGAACATGTCGGAGGCGGTAAATGGTCGCAGGACGCTCATGGTGAAGTCGAAGTTGGATGGTAGTGGACGATACCGAAAAAAGAAGGCCCGTGCTTTTCTATTCCACCGCAACCACAGGCAACCACTCCTCGTCCTACTACAACCTCAATTCCACAATCCACTGGGGAATGGTCATTCCCAACCTGGTTCTCGTTCCACATTCAACGCTTCAATTATTTAACGACAGCTACCACTTTTTTTTCCACCACTGTCGCATTATGTACGCGTATCGAGACGTATTGCAGGGGATTTCGGCTGACCTCCTCCGCGCCATCTGTGCTCAATCGTTCTCACTCAACCGCCAGCTACTGTAGAGCAGAGGACGCGAAAAAACGAGTGAAGTCGAGCCAGAATCACGAGGAACTCAGGAGTCGCGCCTCCGTTAAGTAAAAGTAAAGCACCGTCAAGTCGCGAACCGTCATGAATCGAGTAGAAGTCTCGACGACTCGTAGCTGTCTCCGCCCCCTGGAACGTTGAGTACAGTTCCAAAGGCTGGATTGAGGCTGGATTTCGACCGTGATGGGAGGATCAGCTATTGGTGGGTTCGTTCTCGCCTACAGAGTGTATGAACGACCGACAACGACCGTCTTCAGAAATCCCGCTCAGTTCTCCCAAGTAGTGAGAATGCAGGGGTTCAAGAGAAACCTGAGCCTCGTCTGTGCTTTCCGCTGATATCGGCCGTAAACTGACCCCACTTCAGCTGAACAGATCCAAGAGCTCCTCCACCAAGAAGGACGCCAACAAGAACCCGTCGTCATCTGCTCCCCCACCTCCCCCTCCCAAGACCCAGAAACGCATTCCCCCGCCAGTCCAGGCCAACGGTGCACCCGCCCCGTCCAGCCAGCCGTTCGTACCGACACCCACAAATGGCAGCCATGTCACAGACGTTGTCGAGACTCACCCGCCGCCGATTGTCGTCGTCGTCGTCCCAGACGCGACCCAGGACGCCCCGCACCGCACCGGTCAGTCCGAAATTCCAGAGCTCACAACCCTCGCCGGCGGCCTCGATCTCCCCGGCCCATCCCGTGTAAATCCCTCAAACATGTCGCGCCTGGACGCCATCCCCACCGTCGGCAATCCCCCGCGCAAGCAGCGCAGCAGTCGGTTCGTCATCACAGAGAAGGTCCATATCGAGCCCCTCCCGCCGTTAATGGGTCCGTTCACTTTGTCCTCGCTCTTTCCCACCCGGTCTCACATTCCCGCCCACCCCAGAAACAACCCCCAGCGAGCGCCCTCAGCTCTTCATCCATAAACTTCACCAGTGCCGCGTATTGTTTGACTTTAATGACGCCAGCGCCGAGCTTGATGGCAAGCAGGTCAAGGCACATGCGCTGCACGAGCTGCTCGACTACATCACCACCCAACGCGGTGTCATCACCGAGTCTGTATACCCCGAGGTGGTCGGCATGGTTAGTCTCGACCTTGTAGCTATGGGTCTGCAAATTGACCAGTTCTCAGTTTGCCACCAACCTGTTCCGTTCCATACCCCCGCCCGTAAATCCTGCCGGCGACGCGTTCGATCCCGAGGAAGATGAGCCCGTCCTCGAGATCGCCTGGCCTCATCTCCAAATTATCTACGAGTTCTTCCTCCGTTTCGTCGAGAGCCCTGACTTCAACGCCGGCATGGCCAAGCCCTACATCGATCAGCGGTTCGTCCTCAGCCTTCTCGACCTCTTCGACGCGGAGGACCCGCGGGAGCGCGACTTTCTCAAGACCACCCTCCACCGTATCTATGGCAAGTTTCTCAATCTTCGCGCGTTTATCCGCCGGTCGATCAACAACGTCTTTTTCCACTTTGT